GTCCTGAATACAAAGGTTTAGTAACTTTTCTGATAGAAAACGTAATTCACAATCAGTCAGTTTTAACTTTTGGTAAACAAGTTTATTTTCTACTGAATAATTCAAACTTAATGCAAAGCTTTTAACGACAGATTTTAAAGCTATTTTGTCACATATGCAGTCATTAAACTAAAAATCACCTAACACTGAAACTGATTTTGCTTCAGCCTTGAAAATGTTGCAAATATTGAAAGAATGACATTATGAGCAGAGGTGAACCACAAAATATTATATCCTAAAAATTATCTCCCAGAAATGTATAGGTATGTCAGATATATGGCTATCATTGGCATTTTTCAGTAACCAAAATTATGTAAGTCCAGTTGCTTAAAGAATCACAGAATTATTAAGGCTGGAAAAGACCTCCAAGATCATCAAGTCCAACCATTGACCGAATTCCACCATGCCCACTAAACACATCACAATGTGCCACGTCTACTCATTTTTTGAACACTTTCAGGGATAGTGACTCAACCACTTCCCTGAGCAGCCTGTTCCAATGCTTAACCACTCTTTCAGTGAAGAAATTTTTCCTAATATCCAATCTAAACCTTCCCACTGCAACCTGAGACCATTTTCTCTTGTCCTGTCACCTGTTACCTGGGAGAAGAGCCCAACCCCCACCGTGCCACAGCCTTCTTTTCTCCAGGCTAAACAACACTAGTTCCCTCAGGTGCTCCAATCCTTCCACCAGCTTTGCTGACTTTCTCTGGACATGCTTCAGCACCTCAATGTCCTTCTTGTAGTGAGGGGACCAAAACTGAACACTGGTGCAGCCTCGTCGATGCTGAGTACAGGAGGAAAGAGCTGTTTAATAGAATAAAAACATTCTGTAACTCGATGAACTTCTACTTTTTGGGAAATCTAAGGCTGGCACATTCACTCTACAAAAAATGCAAGTCAAACCAAGCATTTCAAACAAGCAAAGAAGTGTGCACACACAGCCACAAAAATGGCATGATTTACTATTAAACAGATAGAAGAGAAGCAAAAGCTGTGTGTGAGCCCATGGATTTGAGCATGCACACACGTATTAGTCCTCTCTCTTCTTCATACACTCTCTTCCATCCCCAGACACATTCTATAGTATTTAGAGACTGCCATGGGCTGACCATCAACCCAGACCAAGACCTCTCTGCTCCATGTATGCTCTGATGCTAGATGGGCAGAAGGTCACTATTCTGAAAATCTAAAACAAAGTAATTTTTTTTATTTTCTTTTCCCCTTGAGGCCAATATTTTAGTCCATTCCAGGCACATCATTCACAATTGTTTAGAGTAATTACACAGATTATTTAATTTCTAACTCTTTATTTATTCAAGACACCGAGATACCATTTATATGTTCCAAGATGTCATGACCAGCTGAATGTCCTTGTGAATTCAATTAAGTGCTTTACGTACAAATTTGTCAGCACAGCTTTTTGGGTTTTGTCAGGTGACAGTAACATGGGGTCAGAGCATTTACAGGAATGAACTCATTCCTGTTACTTTTAATCTACAGTTTCTTGACCATTATACAGTCAAGTTCTGTGCAGAAGGTTTTAAGCAACTGGCATCCAGAGTCAGGTGTGAGGACACCATGAGCTGAACGCATCAGCAAGCACAGAGTATTAGCGTAGCAATATACACGGTTAACACCTCTGTCAGATGGCAGCAAACCAGCCTCTAATAGCAGGCAGTCTTTGTCTCCTTTATGCAGCACAGCTTTTATGTCATCATGCATTTTAATCTTCTTTCCCTTTTAAGACCAGGTTCTCTGCAGAGATGGGAATGTGCACAGTGCAGGCAATGAGGATGTCTCACACCCAACAAGCACTGCTGCTGGGCACTTGGTGGTAGGCGTACCACAAAGAATTTGAAATCCCATTTAATGTGTTCTTTTTGACTGCATCAAACATAGGCTTCCTACTCCTCTCTTACAGGCCCTTATTAATCTGTTGTATCAGCTACTGTCACATTGTGTTACTCCTCCCTGTCTCTGCTTTGCTACTGTGACAGCTGCGTGACCACAGTTCTACAACAGTCCTTTAAGTATTTTTCCTCACCATGTTTTATACATGGATTGTGCTTCTTGAGATCCGTAAAAATTGTACCACTTTCCCACTTCCCTCATTCTTGCAGAAAACCAATTTCCTGGATGGCATATGAAAGAAACCAACTGGGTTGGTCTAATGAGCCCCATACATATTAGGATGAAGTATGGGGCACTCCATAGTTGTCCTTCCTACATGGTTTGTCTTGTACAGGTAAAAAATTCAATTAGCAGAATGTACAGTCTTCATCAATGTGCAATAACATATTGATGTTGTTGGGTACTACTGAACCACAACGACAATTTAGATTCTGCTCTGTAATGACTCATGGACAAACTGATCCCAGGAACACATCTTAGGAAGACCTTTTAGATCAGGATCTCATCTTTTTCAGTGCAATTATGCCACACAGTTGGCGTAAGTATTTCTTTTCTTCTTGTTTAGTAGTCTTGCATTTGAAGCATTCCTTTCCACTAACCATGAGAAAACGTGATTGATTCTGTGATGCACCTAAAAATCCTATAGAACAGTGGGTAAAGATTACATAGGGAGATATTTTTGCTGGTTTTTATAAATATATACACATTTTTGTCTGCTGATGGCTGATTCTTTGACTTCCTCTATTTGAGCCTAAATTCCAATTTGGTGATGGCTGACATTCCCCAGGAACTTATTCCCAAATGGATAGCACAAATTGGGTGGTTCATTTAAAATAAAGAATAAGATTAGTGTTTAACCTCTGAGTAAAGAAAATGTCTGAAAAAATGAAATTGTGCCCTGCATAATTTTTTGTATTAGTATATTAGTATGATATGAGTTTTTAGTATACATAGTATATTACTATGATGGGACAGACAAAAAATTGAACAAAAGAGTAGGGGTACTTGGCTCTGGATCTACCAGAATAGGTATGAAAGTAGTTCTCAAACCAATACTAACAGGAGAAAAAGAAACAAGGATGTCTCTTTCTCTTGCTCAGCGGCAAGAATATGAGGGAGTGGAAAGTAATTGTTTAGGACTCCTCCCTCTCAGTGTTTTAAGTCCCTAGCTCACAGAGCACAGTTCTGCTCCAATCTGAAGCTGTATTTCCAAAACACTGGATAAAGGCTGATAAGTAGGTGTTGAATTTGTGCCTTATAAGATACACTCATCACTTACTAGACTGCACGCACGGGAATTTTAAGGGTATAAACTCCCAATTTTGTTGCAGTGCATAGCTGATGTTCAGTGTGAAAGATGGTTTCAAAGGCTGCCTGAAGCTTTAAGATTAGGCTGATGTGGGGGTCCCTCTTCTGTGACTGGTTATTTGAAACTGAATCTCTACATTTTCATTACTTCCTTGCATACGAAAAGGGAAAAGAGTTAGTGTTACCATGCAATCTCACGTTTAACAAGAAAACTAAACAAGGCTTTAACATTTCCACTTAATATTTCCTGTGACAAGTTCATTTGTCTTGATTTTCTCATGAAGTTCTGTTACCTATTCTATGTAATAAATACATACAATTTTCTTCATGAGTGGGTTGTGGCATGTAGTAATTTTTCATTCTGGCATGCTCATAACAATTCTTCACAATAATTGTAAAGACACCAGAAATCAATCTTTCTCACTTTCACACAAAACAGTGACTTAGGACAAGAACAGGAATTATTCACCTTCTTGTTATAGCTTAAAAACAAAACCCTTAAAGATACATTGCATTAATACAGCAAAATTTTATTATTTTAAAATTTTGTTTTACTCTAAAGAAGAAAAGGGTTTTAATTTGGGTGAGAGAGTTATAAGGAAGAAAAATAATTATAGTATTTATTCAGAGAAATTTCTGAAACAAACTCAGGAGAGACTTTCAAGTTCATGCTCAGTTCTTCAACAATTTTCTTGCAAATTTTATACTAGAAAGCTACGTATTCTCTGCTTTACACACACATGAACACCACCGCCATACAATGGCCAGGTTCTTCTCCATTTGCCATGTAATCAAGCACCATGGGTGGGAGCAGGACTCTTCCTGACTCGGTCAATGTAAAAATTGAACCAGAAGAGAGATCCTGAGTCCAAAATCTATTAAGGAGATTCCTTAACAGAAAGCTAATAATCAAATGGGACAAGTGGCAGCACAAGTTGTGCATGCAGAATGTCTTTAGTCCCTTACTGCAATATGCTCTGCAATGCTCCGCTGTCATTTCATGCTGCTGCAACACAACTATGCACAGTACAAACACAGTTTTATTCATGCACTGCTCTGCCTCAGCTGTTTGTATGCAACGGTCACTCAACCATCTCCATTACTTTCTATCTATAACAGCAAACCAAATAAAACTAATGCACAAAGAGTGATGAGTTAGGATCCACAAGTGTTAAACACTGCATATAAAAATGGTATAATATAGCATTAGTGACTTGCCTAGCAGTTCTAAGGAACTCAATTTGGAAGAGCATACATACACACTAGATTTAAAAATTAGATCTCCAGTGAGTTTTCAAGAGCAAAGACTTTTCACACATTTATGTAGAAGAAAGAAAATCTGAAATGCCAAAGCAGGCATTGCTTACTGTTGAAGAAAGTAAATCTGGTTCTACGATAGCAACAAAACTATTACTGTGAAGTACCAATGCTTGGCTAGTAAAGATGTCCAACAGAGAAGCATAAATGGCTTTGGAGGCACTTACAGGACCTACTGAAGAAAGACTACAAATACTGATTACAGAAACCTTTATCCTATATTTCTTACCATGCTACAGACTTTCTGTATCCTCTAAACTAGACACTGAAGAAGAGGATCTCAGAGATATATGGTAAAGCCATGAAACAAAGACACTGTGGAACTGGATTACGTGGTAGCAGGAGGATGGGTGCGGGAAACAGTGAGCATTTGAAGGCAAGAAAGCCTTGGGCTTGCACTTTGACAAAGGACATTTTGTTTAAACAACTGAGAAGTACACTCTGCAGCTCAAGGCATCGCTTCCTATGAAACACCCAGAACTGACATGGAGCGTTTTAGTAAGCAAAACATTACACTGCTGTTAATTTTATACAAGGTGCATAAATGGCATCTAGTGTTTTAAACAACATAGTATTTAGCAAAGATAATTAAATATATAATTTCCTCCTTTCTTTCCACAGTATTTAAAAGAAGCAGTACTTGCCAAATACTAAGCCAAACTTGAAAGTCAAAGGCCAAACCACTTGTATTATGGTGTTCTACAAGAAAATTTGCTAAGCAAAATGTTCCACAAATACCGTTATTCCATTTTGAACAACTCACTATGTAAAACATGCCTCATCTTACTCATCTTTTATCCTTCAGAAGAAATCTTCTGTAACACAGAAGTCAAACTACATGAAATCACAGATGGAATGGAATTGTTTCGGAAAACTGGTAAGCAGATACTACGGCCTACAGATTCATGCTCTATCACTTTACAGTGGAGGGCGCATACCTCCTTCACTTAAACACAAATGCTGAAGAACAATATAGCACAGCAACCAAACTGGAGCTTATCACAGATGCAGATATGGAAATATTTCAGAGAAGAAACATCAGAACTATTAAATAATAACTATCAATACTCGCCAGCTCCAAAATAATGTTAAAATCCTTCATCTTTCTTTCAGTAATGAGCATCCGCACTCACTCAAAAAAATAACAATTATTTTGTTTCAAAATCATGAGTTATGAGCATCCTGATAAAAGTATTGGAAGACTATCAGCTTATGCGACCATGTTTAGATTCTGGGGTGTTATTGGGATCTCTGAGGTTATCAATAGTGAAGGTTAAAACAGAAGCAAGTTAAAACAGAAAATACAGTATGACCTACAGGTTGAACACAGGAAGAATTTGTTGTGCATCCAATGTTAGGTAGAGACCAGAGAGGAACTATTAATCTGAAAAACCTAGCTATAAAATCAAGAGAAATTCAAATACAGGGAACAATGTATTTTATATCAACTAGTTCATATCACTTACTGCAACCTGAGAGCATCCATGAAGAAATCTTAGTAGATTTATTCAACAGTCATTGACATGTGCAAACTACCACTTGCAGATAAATAACAGCCATATTTATTGTTATTAGTATGAACATTTGGCCTTATTTTTGATAAATTGATAAAAAGTCTGTTTTTCTGAAAAACATGTTTTTTCTGGAATTTATTCACTATTATTTAGTTACATAGCAAGATGACAATCTTTTCTTTGACTATAACACATTTGTTTGGTCATGAAACAAATATTAGATCCTGCATTAAAGCATTCTAAGTACAAGAATGTCAAATACTAGTCTGTCTGAACTAAGAGGGGAAAAAAAAAACTTGAGCTCCTTAGACAGACCTCCTCTCCTCACGCAGGAGACTGCTGACCTGAGTACCCAAGAAAGCAGAAGGAGCCAGGCCTCCAGCATGGTCCCTGGCACAGTCCCAAACAGGACTGTTCCCAAACAGTGGCATGGCTGAGGCCAACACTGCTGGCTGCAGGAAGGACTTAGCATATAAACACAAGCTCTACTGTGGCACTTTCCCATACTCATCTTATTTACAAGTTATTCACATAAAATGAGTTTAAAGGAATTGGTCCATCAGTCTAACTACTCGATACCTTGCTAGCTCTTCCTCAACTGTGTGGGCAACAGTCCATTAAGATGAATTTGATTCATATTTCAATACCAATCTCTGGTTTATGTTTCATATATCTGAAACAAGATAAGCCTAAGTAACTGAAAAAACTACAATGATTAATTTTATTGATACAAAAACACATGCAGAATACTTTCCAAAGATAATACTAAAACAGCAGGAAAATCCACAATTTCCCATAAAGGGGCATATACAGTAATTCATGAACTCAAAACACATTTATAACTCTCCTATTTTCTAAAGAGGTTGCAATCTCACTTTTCCAGCTTGTGCAATTTAAAAATAATTACTCTGTACATTTTAGTTTATAAAATGCAGTCAAGAAATTGCAAGGAGATTTAAACAAACACAGAAATGAAACACAGATGAAACCTCAATAGTCAGCTAACCCATCTATCTAAATCATCTATGCACTGCCGCAGTATGAACTACACCTCTATTCCTGCAAGAAAAGGTCTTACCTTTCCTTAAAACTTCTGAGATTACACAACATTCCTGAGCAGTTTAGTCTATTGCTTTACTAAGTGCTTAGTTAGAAAGTTTTCCCCAAAGCCTAGCCTAAATATTTGTGTGTGTGAAAATTAGGCCAATCACTATTGTTTATTTCCTTCATTCCCTGTCACCTCCTTGGGACAAATATTGAGAACCCTCTCTATAGCAACCTACTGCAGAGCACAAGGTTTAGCTACTTATTCCTACCATCACCTCTCTCTCCCTTCTCTTGCCTTCTTTCCTCCCTTCCTCCACCACTTCAAACTTTGCCTTACAGTATGCACCTACTAAATCTCTTCTTCTTTTATTAACCTTAGTGTTAAAGTGTTATGACAAAACAGCTTAAGCGTGGCCATATCTAAAACCTGGTATGACATTAATTTGCAACAGTTTGCCTATTTCTGTAGCTTAGCTCCATAAATGGGCTCTGAAAAATCCATATTCAACCTCTGGAAGAGTTATGGCACACATGCAATGCAACTGACAGAAGAAGAAGGTCCACAGGCACAATCTGTCACTGAAATAGGAAGGAGGCAGAAGTGTTTCTGAGCACACAAGCTCTTCTTCAGATCTGCATCAAAACCAACAAATCTCAAGGTAACAACAGGTCAGCAACAAGTACTCCAAGTATAACATCACGATGTTATTTTATCAGATATTCTGAACAAAATTGGTGGTGAGAAGTGGAAGTAAATATGCATGCTCTCTACGCATCCCTAAGCCTATATTAATGCATCATTTTCCTACAGGAACTTTTCTCAAATTGCCAGAAAATGTAAAAGGAGACTAGACAGAACAAATTAAACTTGTTTATGGGACTGTCCCATTTGCAACAGAACTTGTGAAGTGCACAGCAAATAAGCTATGCAAGAGAAACTAAAGGAAGCTGGATCACTCCATTATGGATTGGGTGGGAAACCGCTTTTATCACTAACTTTCCACAGACCCAAAAGTGTTGTGGGGCAAGTAAATGAGATCAGTTCTTCATACTCAAGAATTAAAGAGTCAGCAGAGCCCTGGCAGCCAGGAGGGCCGACCGTGTCCTGGGGGGCATCAGGCAAAGCATTGCCAGTCGGGCGAGGGAGGGGATTGTTCTGCTCTGCTCTGCACTGGGGCAGCCTCACCTTGAGAACTGTGGGCAGTTTTGAGCATCTCAGTACAAGAAAGATCTAAAGCTATTACAGACTGTCCAAAGAAGGGCTACAGAGATGGTGAAGGGTTTAGAAGGGGAAGCCATATGAGGAGAGGCTGAGGTCACTTGGTTTGTTCAGCCTGGAGGAGACTGAGGGGAGACCTCATTGCAGTTATAATTTCCATGAGAGAGGAAGAGGAGGAGCAGGCACTGATCTCTTCTCCACGGTGAACAGTGACAGAACCCAAGGGAATGGCCTGAAGTTCTGTCAGGGGAGGTTTAGGTTGGATATTAGAAAAAGGTTCTTCATCTAGAGGGTGGTTTGGTACTGGAACAGGCTGCCCAGGAAAGTGGTCACAGCACCAAGCCTGACAGAGTTCAAGAAGCGTTTGGATGATACTCTAGGACACATGGTGTGACTCTTGGGGATGGTCCTATGGCTAAGAGTTGGATCTGATGATCCTTGTGGGTCCCTTTGAACTCAGGACATTCTACAAAACACATGCTTTCAGCGGGACCAGACTGAAGCACAGCATTCTCCCTGATCCAGTGGCTATAAGGTGCTACAGCTCAGTCCACCATGACCATATTGTTATACAGCAAAGGATTTGAGCGTTACAATGATGGTAACTGTAAGAGGAAAGACAATATTTTCTATAAGGACTGGGGAGTACAGATGATACAATGCAACTGTGCAAGATCGAAAAATAAAGATGGGAGCTTGTTCTCAGCAATTAGCAATTGAGGCAGCTGCTATTACAGAACATGGCTGAAAAGGCACGGCTGCAGAGGAAAGCTTCGTGAAACAGAAGCGGTGACTGCCTTGCAAGGGGAGTATGAAGTAAACAAAGGGCATGTCCATTCACACAATAATGCACAATACATGTCTGCATCCGTGAATGGCTGCAGCCCTGTGGACGTCAGCACAGTCTTACGATCCCTCTCAGCAGGCTGAACTTAGGGAAGATATTCTGCTTCTCTGACCTCCAGTAAGCTACAACGTGCCACACTGATGTGCTGCCATAAGCTTTGGTGCCTCTTCTTCACTGTACTCTGTTCATGCAATGTAGATACACCCTCAAATTCTAACAGCACTTTTTCTTCTGGTTTTCCTCACTGTGACAATGACAGCCTTAGTGCTAACTGAATTTTAGTATTAGATACTAGTCAGCTATGTCCCTGTTTATTTAAAAAATGTGACATATTGGGCATTTTAAATTTTGGATTGACTACACGTGTGTGACGAAGAACAAAGATGAAGTCAGCATTATTTGAATTCAATTGGGGATTATTCATTACTCAGAACAAGCAGAACCAGTAACTCTGCTTGAAGAACTGGAATTACTGGTTCATCAAAAAAGTTCTTTATTATTCTTTCTTCTGTCACTATCATTTGATATGCTTCTACAACAACACTGCATCCTACCTGAGCATTTCCAAGGGGAGTTTACAGTTACTTCATTTCTCATCATTATTTTTAGTACAACCCCATCTTATGCCTTACTGCATAAAAGAGAATAGCACTTCATTTCAGTAAGCTGCCTTTCCCTGACAATTTTTAACATGCCACAGGAAGGTGGGTGCCAATCTTTTTAAGAAAAACTCAATATAATTGAGTTGATTGAAAAATCACAAGTGAAATATTGTTCCTAGGGACATCTTCTATTCTTGGCTAACAGTATTGATTTGCTCTTCCTAAATACTAGTTTATATTTAACCATTGTACTCAATATCACCTATGTTCTTCCATACTTGTAATTTCAGAAAGCAATTAGCTATTCCTTCACTAACAGGACTCCCATGGTCTAAATGCAGTAAAATTCACAGTGTTTCTTAAGTAGGTTGTCACCTTTTCTATGGAAATTATTAAATTGAAAGCTAGCAGTGATATATGTAAATGCTACTGTGGGCATGACTAATCCACAGTCCACACAATGGTTCAGAATAACGAAGACCGAAACTTCTATTTTGTCACTTTCTTCCTAATGGTACCTTACACAAAGATGAAGAATAAATTGTTCTGGCAAACTTGCTCCCAGATTTTCCCTTTTATGAGGGCTGTGGAGAACCTCCCTCCTCCTATCTGAAAGGATGCCACAATGCACCTGTATGGCAGGCAGAGGCATGAGCCCTGTGCATCAGACAGAGGGGAGAGCTGAGAACACCCATCTCCATAGCTGCATGACAAGGGTGCAGTCAACTAGGGCAGAAAGGGCCATGGGTCAGTCGCACCTTAGGGACAGCCCTGTAACCTGTAACCCTGTAACCTGACCTGTGTGTAATGAAGTGTGCAGGCGTGTGTCCGGCCTCTGACGCGGTGACACTGTCCTGCTCCCAGCAGTGCAGTCACAAGCCTTGGAGGCCTGAAGACAGCCCACCACTTATGTACTCACTATTCACAATGATGCTGTAAAGTACTCACTAACTTGTGTGTGAAGTGTTTCACTCTGTGTTTGAAGTATTTCAGTTTAGAAAAGACCTTTGCGATGACCAAGTCCACCACTACACCATGTCCCTAATGCCACATCTACATGTCTTTTAAATATCTCCAGAGACAGTGAATCAACCACTTCCCTGGGCAGCTTCTTTCAATGCTTTGACAAACATTTTGGTAAAGAAATATTTCCCAATATCCAGTCTAAACTTTCCCTGGCTCAATTTGAGGTTGTTTCCTCTTAACCTGTTGCTTGTTACTTGAGAGAAGAGACTGCCCCCCAGCTGGATACAACCTCCTGCCAGGCAGGTGTAGAGAGTGATAAGGTCTCCCCTAAGACTCCTTTTCTCCAAGTTAAACAGCCACAGCTCCCTCAGCCGCTCCTCATAAGACTTGTGCTCCAGACCCTTCACCAGCTCTGTCACCCTTCCCTGGACGCTCTCCAGATCCTGAATATCTTTCTTGTAGTGAGGGACCAAGAACTGAGCACAGGATTCAACGTGCAAAGTACAGGGGAACAATCACCTCCCTGGTCCTGCTGGCCACACTATTCTTGATAAAAGCCACGATGCCACTGGCCTGCTTGGCCACCTGGACACACTGCTGGCTCATGTTCAGCCAGCTGTCGACCAGCACTCCCAGGTTCTTTCCCATTCAGCAGCTTTCTACTCTGTCCCCATCCTGTAGCATTCCATGAGGTTGTTCTGACTGAAGAGTGGGACCCAGCATTTCACCTTGTTGAACCTCACACAATTGGCCTCGGCCCATCAATCCAGCCTGTCCAGATCCCTCTGCAGAGCCTTCCTGCCTTCCAGCAGATCAATAGTCCTGCGCAATTTGGTGCAAACCGACTGAGGGTGCACATGACCTCATTCAGATAATTGACAAATATATTAAACAGGACTAGCCCCAGTCATAAGCCCTGAAGAATACCACCAGTAACCAGCCACCAGCTGTATGTAGCACCATTCACCACCACTCTCTGGGTCAAGCCATCCAGCCACATTTTTTTTACCCCACGAACAGTACAACCATTCAAAGCATGAGCTTTCAGTTTCTCCAGGAAAACATTGTGGGAAACCATATCAAAGGCTTTACAGTGTACGTAGACAACACCATAGACTTTCCCTCATCCACTAGGTGGAAGAGGCTTAGAAATTCATCAGTGTGTTTCAATTAAAAGATTTACTTATTTCTAAAAATTCTAAAACAACTGAAAAACATCATAGGTTTCCCATTAAGTGTTTTCTCCTGACTGAGTTTAACAGAAAATATTTCTAACCTGTAGAAATTCTTGCTGGAAAATATTTAAATAATAGCAAGGCTTGAGTAGACATGAATTAAAATGACTTCTTTACCAATTCAAATTAACTACCATATGTCTTAAACAATTCTATTATCATGGCTTTTGGGCATCTCAAGCAATTGAGAAAAAAGAGAATGTTGCATCTTCTTTGTTTTCTTATAACTGTTTTGTAAGTCTAGCATTTGTTGAGTTAAGTAAAATGAGTTTTGGTTCTTTGACAAACTTTCATACTTCCATAAAAAGAGGTGGGAGAGACAAGCCACAAAATGTAGCTCTGTTCTTATAAGAAATTACCACAGTACATAAGTGTACATAGAAAAATAATTTTAATTTATGCACCTGCTAAATGAATTAAACACTTTGTTTTCACAGGGCATAAAAACCGGCCTCCTTCTTTCTCAGCCTTTCCTCTTCAGCTAATCAGCCATGTACCTCAAAGTGACAGCTCCTTGCAGCGTGTGGAAAGACAAAAAATATTTCCGAATTCAACAACTGCAAATTTAAAAAAAAAAAAAAGGTTCAAAGTAAAAAAAAAGAAAAAAGTTGCACTGAGATCTTCTCTAGTGTCACATGAGATTCTCTCTCTTTCTCACTTAGGTTGACAGCTGATGCAATAGAGCTTTGTGGAGAAGGTGGCAAATAAATAAAGCTACTTCTCTTTCCCATTTGGTTGAGAGAACAATATTTAAAACTTCATTTATTTCCTTTCCACAGGTTGAACGCGGTACTTTGAAGTTCGATATTGTCTGGGGAGAGGAATGAGGAAGTTATGTCTGTTGTTAATATGCCCTTGAGTCTATCTACCATGTCTTAGGTTAAGAAGGCTAACTCACTGCAAACCTAGTTAGGTCTTCTTCACTCTGTCAGAAGCTTAAACAGATACATAACTGAAGTAACTTTATAGACTTATCTATTTCTTAATTAAAAAATTATACATTTGTATATAATACTAGTAAATGGCTATAAAATAGCCTCTGTAAATATTGTCTATCAAGTATAAATTTAAGCTCATTATGCAGCAAACCCATGCTGGTTTTGTTGCATTAGTCTAAACTCCTGCCAGTATTTAATGAGATAATTTACTTGTTTATCTATCTGTCATGGTTTAAAGGAAATTAAAATTTACCTCATCCACAGCAAGAAAGTATCTGTCTATATTCAGAAAATGCTTCTCTTGGCCACCTCAGCTTGTTCAGGAATTTCTTCTAATTTTTCACCTCATGAACATATTCACAGCTTTCTTTTCCACTTCATGCTTCTTCTACCTCCATGTTCCGCTTTTTTCCCCCCATCCAAGTCTCTTGATTGCCTCAACAGTTGTTATCCCTTCTCTTCATCTCATTGCCTCCAGATTTTAAAGGAAAAATTGAGGATTAGCTACTTACAGCTGTGTCATTGTTCATTCTAGCTGTACTAAGTCTTTCTAATCTCCTCTTCTTGCTAAACTCTTCTATTTAAGACCATGATATTTATTTTCTCCGTGCACAGGTTAGAACAACGGAGTGAATTACTAACTAGTCCACGTGTAGCTACATCATCAGCACTACAGTATATGTGTATTTTATGTACAGAGCCTACATTGCATATACATACATAGACATGAATAAACACACATAAGACTATACTAGGCAGCTCAACAGATTTTAAGAATCAGAATTCAAGGACAATTAATTGATCCTAGCTTACTTATGCCTTTATTCTCTACATACCAAGGACAGTACATTAATATATTCACAGCATGTTACCAGGAACAGCTGTTAAATAATAAATGCCTTACTGTATTATTTTCAGTGGGTGCTTCAGCAATTAAACTCTGGCTGCCTAATTTCCAGCTCAGTTAGGAAAAATAACTATATCTTATGCAACCAAGTAAAATACTAGGAATTACCCAAAGAATAACAGAAACATCAAGATATCCACTGTAGAGAATTACTGTTCTCTGTGAGGAAATGTGTCATCTGGCTTCTCCCTGCTTATCATTGCAAGAGCTCAAAAAGCAGCTTTTAGCAGAATAGTCTAGGGGCCTTTGCTGCAGATATCATTGGATGTTTTGCCTCAGCTGGTGTCAGCAGTTCAGCTCTTTCTCTATCTCATCACTGGCGCAAGGCAGACACTACTTCCCCTCTTTCAGATATAGTTATTCGGGAGCCACAGTTGGAAACCCAATGCAAATCAACACAAAAACCCCTCTCGTATTTCTGTTTTATTAAAATCAATGCACCCTCAGGCAGCAGAACTAATAGGTCTATGCCAGGGAAGTAGAGACAACCAGTGGGCAGTGGCATGAGAAGGGCAGGGACCCTGAAGTGACAGACTCTCAGTCTGCAGGATCGCTAGATCAGATGCACATCAAACCACATGCTATAGCTAACTCTCCAAATATCCATCACCAACTTGGAGTAATGTTCAACAAAAGCAAGTCTTCAAAAACGCACAAAAATCAACAATCTTGCACGTTTCAAATTTTAAAATAACTCTTAGACAAACTGCCTAAAACTAAGAGGAATTCATATTTGAGAAAAAACCCCTACATTTCATTTGGTCTGCCTCTCATTTCCGAAACTTTGATTACAGAAGCTACCAAGCATAAAAAAAACCCCCAACAGCTACTATCCAGCTTTTCCACTTGCAAGGTATCCTGACTACCTTAATCTACCCAAACAATTGTGCAATTAGAAAAAAAACTATCTAAAAATATGGTTAGGACTGCAAACGTCCCTGTGAAATGTTTTTATTATAAGCATAATAAGTCTGATTTATATTTTTAATTTTATATTTTATCAATCACGTTTCTTAAATGCATTGTACCTCTCCAGTAGTCATTTACCATTTAAGAAGAAAAAAATTATCATCTTCCACAGACTTTCTTGTTTGAAAAATAGTTATTTTAACTATTAAAGCTACCAGCAACTTAATAAAATAGTACATATAGTAGACTGCAGTATTACCTTGTTCCGGCTTGAAATGTATTCACATGATTTACATCTGGACAATACCATACAACCTGACTCATTATTCTGAATAAGATAACTATTTTATCTCTCCACAACAAGACCAAAACACATGAAATAATAACTGCCCACAGAAATTATTTCCCCAATAATTGTGCAGAAATTTCAGCCTTATAACGTTTCTAGTTTAATTTCAAAAAGAAATGTTAATTTAACATTAAAGAAACATTAAAAGTAACTGGCTAGGGCTTTTTTGTGCATGTACTAGCTTTTCAAACAATCAGACTCTCCTACTGAAGTGCAAAAGCTTAGCACACATCTCTTAGGGCTGCATTCATTAAAGTCAGCTATCAATCAGTCACAGTAGAACTTTCCTTAAAAACATGAAACGTAATTTGCATAGAGCCCTGCTCACTGTTACTGAGCGATAGTTAACGAACCACTCCTTTTGTTTCAAGCTACAGTACCTCATGAAGTACTGTCATTACTTAAAGCCTGAGAATATTTGGAATTCATTACATTTTCGTACTTTGTGCTACATACGTGAAGGTGGTGAGGCACCGGAACACGTTGCCCAGAAAAGTTGTGGATTCTATGATATACCATGTCATGCACCAATCCTGCAAATGCAAACTTCCATTTTTCTACAGAGTTTCTTAGTAATCCTGAGCATTTCCACTAGTATTTTTATACTGACAAGGAACTATCTGACTGAGGTTGTAACCAGCAAAATTAGAAGTCTGGATTTACTTACTGTATTATCAAATATGAATTTTATTACATTTATTATTTAAAAATGACCTGAAGTTGAAAACGAACTCTTATGAGTCTATCATGAGTTTCATTACATTTAGTTGTGACTTTTGTGCCATATTTTCAGATTCATAGTACTTTAAACAAACAAGATTCAGGTTCTGGGCCTCATGCTCCAGGATAAAAAGGCCTAAATACTAAGCCTGCAAGATATGACACAGTAGAACAATAAGGAGAGGCCAAGAATATTAATTTTTAATTAATTAATTAATTAATTTTTAATTATATGTAATTTCGAGGGATCTGTTACATGTAATGGAATAAGGTAGAGTCCTCTGAGCCAGCAAGAACCAATTTAATTTGAAGAAAACACAAACCCCCCCAAGATGTGCAGGTGCACTCCTAAGACAACACACCACCACCACAGCAATGGCACTTCTAGACCCCATCTGCCAGCTCTGCCGAGCAATGCACCATGTACACAAACCAGCTCAGTTTGGAAGAACAGTGAGATTTTTTGCAGAGTTGTACATTTCTTCATGCATAGCGATCACCAAATTGCAGTTTCAGATTGTCTATAAAGTAAGGTAACCCTGCATCAGATTACATTCAGGTCTTGCTTTCAGTTCAGTTCTGTTAGGACTAAAATTATTTTCTCTAAAGGAAAAGAACACCTTAGGTTTTTAGTAAGTTTCACAGCAACAAGAAAGGTTCATGCAAGTTCTGTGACCTGAAACCTTGGCTACAGTTCTTAGTAAAGCAGATAATAAATTAGAGGTTAACTCAAGTCAGTCATCTTTAAAGAACTCTGACCAATGTCATATTACGTTTTACATGACAATCACTGTCAGCATTATTTCAACTATTATGTAGACAAATGAAATTTCATTCAACTTACCTGATGCGCGTCTGGTGAATCTGTTTATCGCTGGAGCTGAAAAAAAATACAACATTTTGTTTATTTTTGTAGTGGTGTAACACACTTTAAACTCAACAATGTTATACTTCATTCAACGTACCAGTACTTCATTCAAAAAACCCATTATTTTTGTATCTTTAGAGAAACCCAAGTTAAATTCACACAGAAACTTTGAAGCAGCTTTGCAAGAGATGGTACATAGTAACTAGTAAGCTTTCAAGACCATTTTCAGCTTTCTAAGAGTTACTGTTACTTATTGCTGTTCTTGACTGGATGTAAAACATTCAGATCTGCGTTTTTTATTATTTTGTTGAGTGTACAGTAACTGGCATCTTGCAAACAATAACGCAAGCAGGGATTAAAAAAAAATGTAGAAAAATCTACTTTATTTTACAAAATGAACCTATTGGAAATATGGCACTAATGATACTCCTATAGAGAAAAAGACTAATTTGCAATCCCATCTAGAAGACTGACTTTTGCTTTGGCTAACCTTTAGAACTCCTTGGGTAAGTCAACAACAATGCCAACCCCACCCAAACCCCAGTGCAAATGTTTCATAGTGCCATCCTGGCACATCTCCAACTGTATGCTGCAAACATTTGTAATCAGACTCCTGTCTTGTTTCCAACTGGGACACACTGCAAAATGCAACTTAAAGCACATGGCTTGGCATCTTTTTAATTTCTAGGTTTACCAACTTCTTCAAGAGCTACTGGAGATAAAATAGATAAAGTCTTATGTTTTGCCTTCCAAATACAACCTTCAGTCTTCTCCTAATTAGTATAAAACACTGGTCTAGAACTCTACTTTCATGTGATATATTAACTGCTGGAATA